GGTTCACCGGAAAGCTGGCGAGGACGTGGTTCAAGACCGTGGATCAACTTCCGATGAACTATGGGGACGAGAATTACAATCCGCTTTTCCCTCTGGGATTTGGGCTTACAACTGAGCCTGTTAACAAATCTAGCTAGGGCTTCTGTTCATAAAAAATTAGGAGTTCTAATTTTTTTTTTTTTTTTTTTTTTTTTAGTTCCATTCTTTTTGAGTAATTTTAAATAATAGTTAAGGATTTCCTTCACTAATTTTTTTAGAATAAGTTTAATTTTTAAAAATAAATAATTATAGCTGTCTCGATGTATGATATTGTGAAGTGGTTTCGACTCGGTGGAACAAATCGAATCGATATTAATCTCCGATGTAATTTATTTGAATTAAAATTTGAGGTTAATTTTGATAAAGTTAATTTTATTAACTCTAAGCCAAAGCATGTGTAAGTATGAACTAATTAATACATGCAACAAACTCCGACTTCTGGAAGAGATGCATTTATTAGATAAAAGATTGATGTGGGCTCTGTCCGTTGCTTTGATGATTCATGATAACTCAACGGATCGCGCGACCATCGTACCGGTTTTCACAATCAGTGGGGCGAATGCGCCTTGAGAAAGACCAACCTGAATTAGAGTTACAATCCAACCCCGAGTTATGTTTACCCTACAAATAAAATAAAACGTCATATAAATTAAGAAATAAATTATAAAAAAATATATATAAAATAGAAATAAATTAAGAGAAGATTTAATCAATTACCAAACAAATAGAGTTGGTAAAATTGGTTGATGAGTGGGTATTTTTAATTCCAAATTGTTTATATTATTTTTCCTTTTAAAATATCATTTTTCCATAAATAATCATATAAAGATTGACCTCTTCTGTTTGATCCCTTTTACGAGCATAAAATTATTGCCACCATTTATTGCTAATTTCAATCCCTAAATTTTATTTTAATTATTTTTTAAAACCATTTTGCTTTTGTATTCTACCTCCCATTCATCAAATAGAGTAATAATAAGTGCAGCTAATTATAAAAAAATAAAATAAATTGAGTATTTTTTAAATTATATATATATATATATATATATATTATTTTCACTCCCTTCTTAAAATTATTTTTTTTAACAATTTAAAAAATATATATTAAAATTGAGTTACAAATTTTAACTAGTAAATAGAGATTATTTACCAATTACTATTTTACTTTAATAAATTTTTTTTTTTTGAATAAATGACTCGAAACAACTTAACCAACCTCAACCCAAAATTTAGGATTGGATTAGGATTGACTCATTATTATTTAATAAGTGTTGTCTGGGTTGAAAATGTTACACGTCAAACAGTTAAGTTTGGTCTAAAAAATGTTTTAACTCGACTCGATCCTGTTGGATGATGAAAGTCCCACATCGACTAATTTAGAAAATGATCATGTGTTTATAAATGAGGAATACTAACTCCATTGGTTTTAGACCTTTTGGGAAAGCTCAAAGCAAAGCCATGAGAGCTTATGCTCAAAGTGTACAATATCATATCATTGTGGAGAGTCGTGTTCGTCTAACAGATCCAACCCATAAACACCCTAACTAAACTAATAGCTATTCAAGAATATAGCTATAAACACTTAGAAATTTAGTCCATATAATGTTAGATGAAAGTGTCTCATATTATTTAATCAATTAGCCTAAAGTCTGTTAGATGAAAGTGTCGGAATAGTCATGGGTTTATAATCTAAGAATACACTTTTGGGTTTATAAAGTCTTTTGGGTTGGTCAATACTATAACATTGTGGAGAGTCGTGTTCGTCTAACAAAGTCAACCCAAGTCATCGGAAGAAAATAATTACCATAAAGTTTCTTTATTTGATGGGATACTAAAACAATGTAGATTTTTATTAGTGTCAACGTCACAATCTACCATTGAATATTCTAAGAACATTTATGAGCTAAATTTGCTAAAATTGGAATTTTAAAATTTGAATATTATAAAATGATGAAAATATTAACCATAATAATAATAATAATAATAATAATAATAATGAAATAAATAAATTAAATAAAAAGATAAGATGGGGCAAGTGGACGATGAAAAGGCTTGCTTTCGTCAAAGATGGCCGAACATCGATTTTGCCAAAAAAAAAAAAAAAAAAAAAAAAAATCCAAAATAGTAAAAACCCACTAGGCTTAATTTATTATTATTATTATTATTTTTTTGGAATTCTCTATTTCAATTAAATAAATAATTAAAAAAATCAGGCCGCCCGAGATTTACCTGATTTGAATCGAGGTGAGAAATCTTTCGGATCAATCTAAAAATATAGATGGATATTGTAGGTGACCAAAACGAGTCAGTATTTACAACTCAATTTTCTATTTTCAAGTCAGGTTTTTCTTATTTTTTTAATGATTAATTTTTTTTTAATTTATTTATCTATAATACATACGTTCATCGCTAACATTAGTTATAGTAGTCAAATATTAGGGTTCGATTAGATTATAACTTATTTTTCGGGTTATAAAAATAATGTAAACATGTAAGCTGACCCAGGTTTTCGATTTTTCAAACATTTAACCTAATCCAAATCGAGAGGAAAAAAGAAAATTATTTAATCGTGATTAAATTTTTTAATATATCAAAAAATATATAAATAAGATGCTATTTTTACGAAGGTGATCTTAAAATTAATTTTTATCGGATAATTAAAATGTGGAATTTATGTAATATTTTTTTTACCCTAAGTTTAGTCAACTCGTATAATTTAATGGAAAGACAGTTATTATATAGTTAAATCCCGTGCGGTCCCATTTAACTAAAAAAACAGTATCTAATATATGGATATTTGGAATAACATGCTTATTAAATTTATTTTAATTAATTAATGGACGTGAAATATAATTAAATTGACTAATAGATGTTCTATGTGTATCGAAAAAACCAATTGCTTTAGTTAACTTACCATTGGAAAGGACGATTTGACTAATTCTTTGTCATAATCTCACTCTTGTGGTAACAAAATAATGATTGTGCGACACTTATTTTAACCTAATGAATAAGTTAGTTACATGAAATTCACATTTTGCAGATAATATCGATGTACGAGAGAAATGCTTTAGGAAACGTGAGCGAGAAAATACATTGAAAACAATTTTTAGAGAAAGCTTTGTTATAAGCTAAAAACGAGTAAGCAACAACAACGGTTTTGATAGCATATAACCAAAGTATAAAGAATTGACATTTTGAAGTATTTTAATCGTGATGATTGTAGACATGATTTTGGTAAATGATCATACACTCTTGTATTGACACAACATGAAATAATAAATACCTCTCTAACATGAAAGCATGTTAAAGGGATTTCGAACGGACGTGCGACTACGAACAACACGTTTTAAACAAGCATGACTGATAAGATAAGGAACCACTACAAGGGGAGTAAGATTCGGATTACCTTGTTGATCGAATATCTCAAGGCAAGAACATTGTTTGAGATTCGAATCACTCCACAAGCAAGATCGATCATGTCTAGCTTGAATGATTCTTGTTGATCAAATATCTCAAGGCAAGAACACTTCCATGAGATTCGAATCACTCCACAAGCAAGATTGATTATGTCGAGCTTGAATGATTCTACATGCAACCTAAACTACATAGAATTGCAAAGAAACTTAGCCATTGGCTAAAGAAGAGCACAAATGCTTCTTTTTACTATTTTTTTCAAGTCTCTTACACATACAACATACATGGTTTTATATAGCCTCAAAATGAAACTACTAAAGTCATTCCAAGAGTTGTAACATTCATACTTAATGGTCATAATTAACCATTATGTAATTGTAACCTATAGTAAATAAAGTCTTAAAATATATAAATGAAATACAATAACTCTAAATTGTAACCCACCCAAAATTTATAACAATCAAACTTCATTCTTCTTCAATGTGGCATGAATTGAAACATCTTTTGATAATTTTGACAAACCTTTTCTTCACATCTTCATTAAAGTATATTGTATGATTGATGTCTTTTGGTTCATATCAATGGCCGAGACATCCGACATCCATAAGTAATACGACTTAGACAAACATGGTTGAGACACTTCCCTCTTTAGTGCAAATTGCCAATAAGAGGTCTCTTGGGTGCAACAATTAAATTATCTCATGGAAAAAATATTTATTTTTATTTAAATAAACTTGTATTTATTGATTTAAAAATTTTAAAATAGATTAAATTAATAAAAATATTTTTAATTTGTGAGCTGCTTTGAATAATAATAAAATTTGTATTAATTTATGAAAAAAGAAAAGGAAAAGGTGAATTATGCCACGCGCTCACGGTGCCTGCCAACGCGAGTTTCCATAATCTATCTCTAATAACAGAATCAATCACCCCGTGCATTTCACGAGCCTCGCAATTTACCGTTCGATTCAAGGAATTATCCATCGGACGGTGGTGGATTATTACACGCGCCTGTGAGGTAGGGATAATAAGAGGCGCACAAAGCCCGCCAGAAAAGCATGCGTATAAAAGTTTTAAAAGAAAAAAAAAAAAAAAGGAGGCAATTTAGAATCGTAATTAACGCGCCCAAATCCAAAAAAGCCGAAAATTCCATTTTCGTAAAAATAATAGAAATTTCAACGCACAAAAAATAGGAAATTTATTTAACCAAGGCTTCATCTCAACATCCAATCTTGACCCTCCATCTCATCTCATCTCTCTCATTTGTGGGTCTCATATATTTAAATTTTATTTATATATATTTTAATCGGTTGAATTAAAAAGAAAAAAAATTAAATTAAGAGTGAATAATTGAATATTGAATGGTTCAAGTTTAAACAATATTTAAGGCTCGTTGAACTTAAGCTTAGACTCGAGCCTTGGTTTGACGATGTCGAGTCGAGTCGGGTGAAGTCGGGTGAAGTCGGGCCTACTAGATGATAGGTAAAAATGAAGTCTCCTTACCAAAAAAAAAATCAAAGCAAATTCAAAATAAATTATTTGACATATTTCAAAAAAGGCCAATTTATCCTTTCAAACTTTGGAATCTGCAACTGCCCATCTGACCCATCTTTCCATTTCTCCCTGCAATTATTTTTCCCCCCTCTCAAACAGGTACTAATTATTACAAAGAACAAGAACAGAAAAAAAATAAGACTTTTTTATTTTTTTTTATTTTAATGATTTATATTTCTAAGGCATTTGTTTCGGTGGTTTGGTTGTAGAAAAAATGGAGTGTTTGGAGGCTAAGGCTTTGAAATCGAGTTTCCACTGGGAATTAGCCATGAAATTTGCTCAACCAGACGATATGGTGGAGGATGATGAGTGTTCGAACGGAGCTGATCTCGTCGCCGGCGAGGATTTTGAGGTCGACGAGTTTTTGAACTTCTCTCATGGAGATTTCGAACATGGGTCTGCTTTGAGAGTTGAAGAAGACGACGATTACGAAGAGTTTGAGAAAAATCGGCTCTCTGTTTCGCCGTATTCGAACCAGTCCGGCGGGTTTCCGACCGCCGGAGAAGAGGGCTCGAAGGCGGTTGTTGCCGTTGAGCTTGCTATTCCGGTAAATTAATTTCTGGGTTTTTTTTCTTTTTGTGTTTTGGTTCTAATTGTTTGAAGATTTCAGAATCAAAATCAAAATCGAAATCCCACTTCTCAGGGCGATGCTTTAGCGGACCTTGAATGGGTTTCTCAATTCGTCGATGATTCTGGCTCGGAATATTCCTGCGCCGCTGTGTCTTTGAACCGCTCCAAACCAGAAAAGAAACTCACCGGAGCTGTAATTTCGTGTTTGCCGACGTCTTTTCCGGTCAAACCGAGGACGAAAAGGCCGAGACAATTTCGTCAAGCAAAATCCAACACTTCTTCTCTCAACCAATCGTCGTCGTCGTCGTCCTTGTCTTCGTCCTCCGGTGTTTCCTCCGCCGCACCTTGGTTCATCTTCTCCGACGCCGGCGAGAACGTGGACTCTTTGAACGTCTCCGGCGAGCCAACGATGAAGCAGAGGAAAAAGTCGTCGTCGGCGGCGGCGGTTTTTCAACCCGTCGGCCCGACCGGTCAGATTCCGCGGCGGTGCAGCCATTGTCTTGTTCAGAGGACCCCACAGTGGCGGACCGGTCCAAACGGGGCCAAAACGCTCTGTAACGCTTGTGGGGTCCGGTATAAATCCGGTCGCCTCTTCCCGGAGTATAGACCGGCGCTGAGTCCCACTTTTTGCAGCGGTATTCACTCGAACAGTCATCGGAAAGTGCTTGAAATGAGGAAGACGAAAGAGGTCCCTGAACCGGCGTCCGATTTGGCCCCAATGGTCCCGAGTTACTAAACAAAGCGAACCGAGCTTGTTGGACCGGAAAGATGAAAAAGACCAAAAGGGCAGATTTTAGCTAAAAAGGACTCCATTTTGTATTTGTAGGGTTAGAGGAGAAATTAGTCCAAGGAATTGTGAAATTAATTTTATTAATTAGATAATTGTTAATTTAGAGTAGATTAGATATGCTTAGGTAGGAAAAGAAGGGGATTTTTGTATTACTTAAGCTATGTTTACTAATATAAAATACTCTTATTCTCTCGGACGTAATTTTTTTTCTCGAGAAATAATAAAATTGGATCGAATAAATATCTAATTCTTATAATAAAATAAAATAAGATGAAACTCGTGTATCATATGGTGGTTGTCGTCTTGAATGAGTTCCACTGCGAATATGATGGTAACGAGTCATGTGAATGGATATTAGTGGGCTTAATATCTCTAAAGTTTCAACATGACTAGCTCGACATAGTTTCCAGTATAACCCTGGAAGGCAAACACCACCCGAAGAATATTTTCGAGCTTCCTCAAACTTACCCAACAAAGGAAGAAACATAACGTGGACAAATATATTAGAAGTGTCGGTGAAAAGAAACCCTCCACTAGGTTGCATTTCATATGCTTGCACATATTTTTGGCTCACAAAGTGGAGGAAGAAAAGAAAGCTATAGGGTTTTGTTAGGGACCGTAAAACTCGGGACGTGGTACACAAGTTCTAAACCTGCACACAAGTAACATAGACTCAAGTACACGCTATACGAGTCATACATGGGAAACTTGTACACAATTTACCTTAAATCTTCACAATTTTACAAAACCGTGTCCATATATACGATTTAGATACCATACTGTTCTAAAATTTTGGTTCGATTTTTTTCCTCGAGCATTTTCGAACATTATTGAAGCTTTTAATTTGTTGTTGAGACATTATTAAAGGGATTGTAGATAGCAATAAAGGTGAGTGGTGGTGAGTGGTTGATATTATCTCTACTTTTGGGGAGGGGCCATAAGTGGTGCTATTTCATTCACCAAACATTAATGCTCACTTTCTTCATAAATATTCTTTTTTTTAATTAAAAATATAATTCTTTTTTCAAAATTCAAAATTTTAAAAAGCAAATTTGAAAATTTAAAGTATATTGGCATTTCATATGCTCCATCACAACCACACATATTAGATATCTTTCATTCAATTTCTAAAAAGTTATGTAATTCAAAATTTTCTATCTCGAGGTTTCAATCAATGGCTTGAACACTCATAAGAATTTAAATTCGTTACATTATTTATTACAGCCACGTAAAGACGACGTGCTCCCTTGACGTCATCTTTACACAGTTATAAGGACGTGAATTTGATCAATATTACGTATGATCGGGCGTTGTCGGCGTTCTGCAACATACCTATTTACTGTGATGACTGATCTTTATTCTAGCAGTTCATGGACGTACATCATTTTGGTCGTCTTCGGTAAGGGTGTAAAATATCGTCGAAGCTTTCTTTTATGTAGATGCAAACTTTGTTCATGTTCCTCGCTACGCCTGATGCGACAAGGACTGCATTTCGTGTAAACCTGAGCGTTGCACTCTTTGGGTATTAAGATTATGTGACATTCATGCTTAGCAGTGAAAAGATAAAAGTGTGTCAAGAAGTTCTTGCCTGTTTAGGTACTCGTCTCCAGCTGCATAGGACGGTTTATAGTTGCGTGGCTGTGGAAAGGCAGGGCTATCTGTTGAATATCAAGACCAAACTTGAAGATTAGTATCTCTATGACATGGGATGAAGGGTTCGACGATCTCGGAATCGGATTTTATATAATGAAAGAATATACGAAGATCTAGACGAGGATTCACACTAACTTCCAGCAAAGGGAATTGAAAGAATATACAAAAACATACGAAAAAACAAGCCCCAATGAAAGGAGTCTACTCTAACCATGATGAGGATTTCAATTCAAACGACTAGGAGCAAACTCATAATTACAAAAAGGTCACATCTTGTAACAACCCAAGTCCACCGCTAATAGATATTGTCCTTTTGGGGATTTCCCTTTCGGATTTTCCCTTAAGGTTTTTAAAACACAGTCTGCTAGGAGAGGTTTCCACACCTTTATAAAGAATGTCTCGTTCTCCTCTTCAACCAATGTGAGATCTCACACGTCTAGTGACTAACACCCGCAAGTAGGCGTAAGCCACCTCTCAAAAACCCCTTCACCCGATATCTCTAAAACCTATAGGAAGATCTAGACGAGGATTCACGCTAAATTCGATCAAAGGGAATCGAAAGAATATACAGGCACATACGAAAAAAACAAGCCCCAATGAAAGGAGTCTGACTCTAACAACGATAAGGACTTCGATTCAAATGAATAAGAGCGAACTCAGAATTACAGAAAGGTCACGTCTAGTAACTAACACTCGCAAGTAGGCATTAAACCTAGCCACATCTCGAACGCCCTCACCTGATATCTATCTAAAAACTGAGAGATATTAGTACTCGAAAAGTTATGATATGGTAACTTGTAGTACCTTCAGTTTTATCATGAACATGAGCTTGGGAATGTTCCGCTGGCCTTTTGTCCAACAATACCTAACAAGCATATGTTATTGACAAGATCACATTCATAAGATTAAGAACTCAGCTTAAAACAGCATTTTAATGTTTACCTACTAACATTAGAGCATTTATACACTTAAACTATCTGAACTGAAGTGTTTCACAAATACCTTTGAATCATAGGAGAGAGGAAATTAAAGAGGGAGGTAGTCTATGGGATGTAGATAAACGGTTTTGACCATATACTACTGAGGATAATAACTGCTACTTTTGAAAGTTAAACTTCTAAAGTAGTATTCGGAAACAAAGTACTAACCGTTTCAATATACTAACAATAAGGGTATTTTAAAACTTTTTTTTTTTTTTTGTTAATTTAGCATGAAAGGAAATGATGCTATTTTAATATTTTTTGCATCTCATAGAAAAGTTGAGATATTACAAACCTCTAAACCAACGCAGAAGGGCAGCTCAGCCTGTTTGTTCTGCACATCATTTGGTGAATCTTTCTTTTCTAAGTGGACAGAGTAACCAACACAAGCATATTTGAAGTCTGCAAGACTGCGTCCCTCTTTTGAAGCTTCCAACTCAGTTTCTCCCACTATGTAGTTGGGTACTGCTTATAAAAATCAATGTTACTATAGATATCATGAAATGTTAATGTTATTTGTAGTTGAGAACTACTAAATATTGAAGGAAACCAAACTTCAATCCACGAATATTTTAAAAAGTGATCAAGGTGAATGAGGCAAGGGACACAAGTAATTGCACTACAATGTGAACAAAGTGAAGTTTCAATGGTAAGAAGTCTTAAAACCATTTTTTAAAATGCATCTATTAGGGAAAGGTTTCCACACCCTTGTAAGGAATGCTTCGTTCCCCTCTCCAATAGACGTGGGTTCTCACAATCCACCGCCCTTGGGGTCCAAGGGTCCCCGCTGGCACACCGCCCAGTGCCTAGCTCTGATACCATTTGTAATAGCCCAAGCCCACTGCTAGCAAATATTGTCCTCTGTGAGCTTTCTCTTTTGGACTTCCCCTTAAGGTTTTAAAACGCGTATGTTAGGGAGAGGTTTTCACACCCTTATAAGAAATGTTTCGTTCCCCTCTCCAACCAATGTGGGATCTCACAATCCACCGCCCTCGGGGGTCAGCGTTCCCATTGGCACACCGCTCCGTGTCTGGCTTTGATACCTTTGTAACAGCCTAAGCCCACCGCTAGTAGATATGATCCTCTTTGGGTTTTCCCTTTCGAACTTCCCCTCAAGATTTTAAAACGCAACTGTTAAGGAGAGATTTCCACGCCCTTATAAGGAATGCTTCATTCTTCTCTCCAACTGATGTGGGATCTCACAACCTAAATGTAGGGGAAGTGGCATCTCCCTCCCAGGGAAGCTAATTTCACATAAGATTTTCTAATTGTTAGTGATCAACTACACTCGATAAGTACAAAAGAAATTTTCCATGATCTACAGAGATTCCGCTCTTTCTTGCTCTAGTTTGTAAGATAATAATAATAATACTACTAATAAAAGAGAATTACAAGAGAATTTGCTATTTTTGTGACACCACAAGAGGCAGACAGCTACAAAAGGACTCAAAAGTAGAGGATTTATCTTCAAACAACCTCTGGTTTCTTTTTAACCAGCACAGTCCTACACCATAGTTCGGACACCAATATTCCATCCCTACCATCAACTGTAAACACAAAATTATCCTTACCCAGATATGCTATAGACACCGGAAACACTTTCAAGAAATCGTCTTTTGCGAGTACTCCTAATTTCTCTCATGCTTCTAACTTCTAAGTGAAATTAATGTAGCTCATTCTACTGATCCCCAAACACTTACCGAGAAATCGTCTTTTGTGAGGACTCCTACTTTCTCTCATACTTGTAACTTCTAAATGAAACTAATGAAGCTCATTCTATATTCTTCATTCAGCTAATAGTCTTGTCTTTTCTTATACTTATAGTACTAACCATGCTTAGCCATTCCTCTGCAAGGGTAGTCCAGTTTTCATTTCGATCCCGTAAGGTCCCTACTCCTAAGAATAATGTTCCCAAAATTATCTCTACTGTCTGTTTGTCTTTTCCTTCACGCGTCTACATCAAGATATGTGGTTATGGCGGCTTAACCCAAAAGGCCTTTTATCATTGAGCCACCACGCCCAAGACCTTGTGGGACATGGTGTTTAAGCTCCCCATGGACACCAACAATCTCCTTACTACAATTATGAAGGGTCATCCATTCATGAAATCAATTGACTTCCATTTAAGATGTTCCTTTGGTCTCCATGGCCAGGAAGGAACAACAAAGAAATGCCCTTCACTTGTTCGATAAAATCTATACACTCGCTTTTTCTACGGGAATATCAGATCAAAGAAAGTCAAGACAGCCTTCAAACACTATGCACAACCGCCATAATCATACGGAAAAGACCAAACACCGGTGAGTCGGTGACCATTGAATTTCAAGAGACGGCCATTGCAGAACCCAAAATGGCAATCAAAAAAAGATAAACACCCAGAAGATCAAAAATGAAATTGAATACAACAAATTAACGAATCTAAAAGCATCTGAACTAATTACCGATATCGTGCATTTCATGGTAATCGCTAATCAAATGGAATCTGAACAAAAGAATGCGAGAGAGGTACCTTGCTCGAGAGTTTTGGACAATCCAATGCAGGTGGGCGTTTTGGATTTGGATTTCTGAAGTGAAGAGTAATAGAGACAGCCCTTACAGGACTTGCCCTTCGAATCTTTGGCGCCATTAGAGGTAAGGTTAGGCGCTGGATTTTGACCTCCGTCTGATTCATCCATCTCCAAGTTCTTGACAACTCTCTCTGGCTACGAACATGAACCCGAACACGATACAATTACAGGTGGGAAGGGAAGGATTCACCCGCGAACCCTCTCTATAGCAAATACTAGACTATAAACTTGAGGAATAGCGTGGATCTGTCCAAGCCTTTAAAAGTTATTAATAGGTTAAGCTTGGTGTCTAATTAGTCACTAACACAAATTTTTTAGACCAATATTGATTGGGGGTGTTAAGGGTTGGATTAGGTCGAGTCGCCTTGATATACATTTTAACCTAGTAACCAGAACAATTGTTCAACCCAATCCAAAAAAAATCATGATTGAGATACCTTTTAGATCAAGGGTGTCGAGAGTTGGATGAGGTCGAGTCGACTTGAGATACTCTTTTTAGACATGATTCAATTGTCCAGGGAGTTCAAAAGATAGTGACCTGAACAATTGATCAACCCAAAAAACAATGATCGAGATACTTGTTAGAACATGAATGTCTAGGGTTTGATCAAGCCGAGTCGGCTTGAGATAGACGGGATTCAATTGTCTGAGTTAAGAGAAAACCTACTGACCCGAACAATCGATCAACCCAACCCAACAAAATCATGATTTAGATACTTTTAGATCACAAAATCATGACTTAGATACCTAATGACTGGAACAATTAATCAACCCAATAAAAAAAACATGATCGAGATACTTTTCAATTGGTCCATGTTAAGGAAATTAAAAAAACATAATAATCCGAGCAATTGATGAACCTAACCTAAAAAATTTATGATTGGATAGAAATATCTGATTTAACCGAATAATCTGATTTAGTCTAAAAAATATCTCAATTTGACCCGAAAAATATGAAATTAACGAGGAGAATAAGGGTAAATTAGTAATTTTACAGAAACTCCATATACTTCTAGGGTTTCCACATATCTTCTATTTAAACTCCTCCCGATACTACGATCTCCATCAAGCTTCTCACCTCAGCAGTCCTCTCAAGGGATCCCATGATTCTTCAAACGGTCGCGGGCTATCAGATCCTTCAATTGTGTTCTAGGTTAAATCTTGTTCTTCAAATTTTTTGATTTTGTTTATATCTTATGGCCAATGATGTAGAAAATTTGTCCGTACCATCTGAGAAGTAATTCGATGGAGCATCCAATCAAACATTATGTTCTGAGGCCTTCAACATGTCTTCTCAATCGATTTTTGAGACTTTGTTTTGATTTCATTCTCTTTTGATTATCTTGTTCTGAAGGCAATAAATTAGAGTCTCTGATGCGCTAATTTTTCTGTAGCGTTTTCAGCGCTGTACGTTGCCGATAGTAGTCTTTGGGAGATGAGATTCTGGCGTTTGCGTCCTTCATGATGCTTGTGCATTCAGATTTTCCCACATTTTAATTTCCTTTTACATCATGATTTTCTATTTTGATTTTCCCCTAACTTGAAACTCATTTAAATGCCCGGATTATTCATTACTAGTTCTTTCAATTTCGTGATTAGAAACCAAATCGTAGTTTGAACCATATGCATCACTTCAATACTTCTTTAATCAATCACTTCAAATCTTTTGATATTTCATTTTTGTTAATCCTTTTTTTCTGTGTTGTGTAATTTATACGACTGTTAGATTAGTGCACTTTATGATGTAGAAAATTTGTCCGTACGATCTAAGAAAGTAATTCGATGGATTATCCAATCGATTTTTACGTTCTGAGACTTTCAACATGTTTTTCCAATCGATTTGTGAGGGGTTTGTTTTGAGTTCTGATTATCTTATGTCTCAAGGCAATAAATTAGAGTCTCTGATGCGCTTCTAATTTTTCTGTAGCGTTTTCAGTGCTGTACGTTGCCAATAATAATCTTTGGGAGATGAGATTCTGGCGTTTGCGTCCTTCATGATGCTTATGCATTCAGATTTTTCCACATTTTTACTTCGTTTTTCAACATGATTTTCAAATTCATGATTTGAAACCAATCGTAATTTTAATCCGTTATCTGTGTTTAATGTGGATTTATGTTTGTTAGATTATTTCAATGGATTTGTTTGATTTGTGTTTTAAATCGGCCGATTGATAATTTGTTTATGGGTCTATGATGATAAATACAAGGCTTGTTTCTCAAAACATTCGCAGTGGCCGCCTGAGAGCTTTCGCCTTCGCCAGGCTTGAGAGCTTCTGCTGTTCTTATCCTTCCTTGGATGTCTGAGACTCTAATAAAACAATAATATCATCCATGCACTCTACAGATTAAACTTTGTTTGATTACATAAACATGGTTTTCTAAATTCCCCCATTGGCTGACTGGGGACTTGATATATACCTCTTTAGCAGTTCTCAGAGTGCTTCAGTGATTTACAGTTCCCACAAATTAATATCCATCCTTTTCACTTTGTCAGCTCTGTCCTCCATGGCTTGCTGATCATTGTTGGATGGTATATCTTTACTTTTTGCATATAAAAGAAAATCCCACTGCATTGTTGGTTTTGCTTGTTCTATGATCCATTCTGTATTTGAGAATTGTGTTAACGATGATGATATCTTGAAGGCTTGTTTCTCAAAACATTCGCAGTGGCCGCCTGAGAGCTTTCGCCTTCGCCAGGCTTGAGAGCTTCTGCTGTTCTTTATCCTTCCTTGGATGTCTGAGACTCTAATAAAACAATAACATCAACCAAGCACTCTACAGATGCAAAACTTTGTTATTCCCCCCATTGACTGACTGGGGACTTGATTTATACCTCTTTAGCAGTTCTCAGAGTGCTTCAGTGATTTACAGTTCCCACAAATTACAATGATCATTCTAAGCGGAAAGGGGCTAGGCCAAGACCAAGAAAGACAAGACAGAAGCTATAACAATGGAGGTTGGGAATGACTATTTGTTACTGCCTAAATTACTAACATACCATCATACACATATCAACACCTATTGGACCCATATTAATGTTTATATTAAATGCAAATTCTTGGGATTTCTTAACAATTTTGTTGGGCTTTGTTTTTTAGTTCTGCGCAGATTGCCCAAAAAGAGCCCAATTTGTATTTTGGGCCTAGACATTACCCAATTATATATTATTAGAAGGCCCATAACGTGAGGCATCGTTAGTGTGTGGTTGATTGTTAAATTCGTCGTTCGTCCATATTCTCTTTAGGTTGAAGGGAATGAATTATTTTTTAAAATGGAAAAAAAAAATTTACTTTGCAAAGAGGAATCCACTTTGAAGGTAAGGCCATCCGGGAATCCCCAAAACGGAAAGCCCACCTCTTTATAATATACATCTCTATACCCATTTGAAGTCAAAGTTTAATACTAACCCAACCAATTATGGATAGGCATAAGGAGTAGAAAGTAAAGAGTAGAGAGTAAGAGAGCATAGCATGTGGGAGAGAGGAGGCGAGAAAAGGAGGGCAGAAGCACGCATTTCTAGGCGCTTGATTAGCCGCAACACAATTCATGAATCAATATACCTTTCCTTTCCTCTGTCTCTTTACTATCATCTTGGCCCGAACACTTTTGGCTCCTAAACGGTTACAAAACTAAAAACAAAATCAACATTAAAATACGTTAATGTTAACTTTATTAATATAATCGAGATGACTATGGTATATAGTATCAAATTTGATCGGGTCTCGTGCACCCTTTGCTTCTATTCACAATCAAATCAAACTGCAGGTGGGTCCTAAAGATTTTTCTAACCCAACTTGTAAAACTAGTACGACAATACATTCATCCAAGAAAATTAAAAAAGAATCATAAAATCCATACAATTCCCACTCCTCGTAAATGCAAGTTTGACATTCGAGGAGTATTACTAACCCTAAAAGAACGCTGCTCCCCACATGTTGTGCATTCTAATCTAATCAGCAAATTTCAAACTTTACCCTTTTCAAAAAACGAGAACTAATGAATGAAGTATAGAGACGAAATGAAAACGTTTCGGAGTCGGGAAAGAGGTGTGTGTTATATAAAAGTGAATAAACTTGGGAGTGTGTTAGGGAAGAAGGAGAATAAACGAGAAAAAAAAAAAAAAAGGAAAGAGATAACTTGAGAATAGAGTAATAAAATTTCAGCTTTAATCAAAGCTCCCATTTGCTCTGTTTTATTTATTCATTAATAATATTATTTAGAAATAAAAAATAAAAATAAAAATAAAAATAATAATGATAATGGAGATATGCTGTAACCGCCCAACTGCCATAACAGTCTGAAACGGCATCATATCATCTTATCCTCTGCGCTTCAAAGAAAGAAACGACCAGTCAATCTCAAAAACTTCACCTTTACTCAAAATTCCCCCATTCTCATTTTACTAATTCTTTATTATTATTATTATTATTTTATTTATTTTTATCATTTACTATTGTGAGAATATTCCAATAACAAATAATTAAGGAAATTTTTAATGTTTCTTCTCCGAAAAAGAAGTTCTGATCGGTAGGCCTTGCATTGCTCTATTAGACTTTTGCCTATTGAGAAAGATTCCCCACTGTTGCCCCCAGTAGGAGTCTAGATCGTGTCTCAGTCCTAGTGTGGTTGGTCATACTCTCAAACTAGTTAGTGATCCATCACTTTGATAAGTTGTTGTCTCACCAACTAGCTAATCAGCTCCTCTTCTGGCGGATTCCTTCTTTTGTTCCTTAGTGTACGGGGTAGTAGCAGCTGTTTCTAGCTGTTGTTCCCTTCCTAAGGACTTACGTGTTACTCACCTATCCGCCATTGGAAACATCACTTTCCATTCGACTTGCATTTGTTTTACGCGCTATAAGGAGCATAACCCAACGGCTTAAACATTTAGATTTTGTAAGTAAGAGTATTAGGATGGGGTTAGAATTATATACCTGTTTAACCAGTTGGTGGTGCGGGTGGTGCAAACATAACCCAGCTCGTTAAATTTTATGGGTCCTTCTTAATTTAATTTTTGCTCCAAAAAGATGTAAATAATAAATAAAAAAAATTAAAATAATTTTAAAAATATTTGGATAAAAAAAAATCTCAAGCCAATAATATGGAAAGGACCCTAAATATACAACAAAATTCAAATTTTAGTTCTACAAAATAAATATATAAATACTATTTTAGTCCCTAAATTTTAGTTTATTTTATTTTATTTTAGTATATATACTTTTACATATTTAAATTTGATTATCACTCTAATAAATCTTTAAAATATTCTTAAACGTCTTCTTATGGTTGACTTTTTTAAAAGTAAAATAAAGTTAGATATTGCTTAATAAAGTCAAAATATAATCCCATAATATATTTTTGGGATAAAAATTATTGTTAAAATTATTATTATTTAATAAATTTTAATAAAAATAAGTTTTGGTGGACTAAATCCATTTATTTTTTAATTCATTACTATTTTTGTAAGAAAAAAAAAGATAATTTAATTGGAATAATAATAATAATAGTTTAAATAAAGGAACACACATTTCTAAAACATTGAATAATAGCACACGTTGTATGAAGAAATTAAATTCATTTAAAAATACTGAAATTGGAGCATTCCAGAGTTTCATAAATGACGTGTGATTTTATTTTTGGGAAACAAAAATTATATATATAATTAAATTGGTCAATTATATATCCACAAATACATTGAATCCATACCACTTTATCCATACTCAATATATAATTAAATAATTAAATAATAAAACCATTTATTTATGTCTATTTTATCTCAATATATTCCTTCTACCTTTTTTCCTTACAACTCCCAGGATAATTCAATTTTTTTTTTTTAATAAATGGCCATCATGTGCCCATTTATTTCTTTATCAATAATTTTAGAAGATTTAAAATAAAATTAAAAAAAAAAAAAAAACTCTATTTCCACAAAATTAATCCAAAATACCAGCATTTTTTATTTTTATTTTTATTTTTAAATTTATGTATTGAAAATTTATGGCTAAATTAATAATAAAAAAATATTTTTGAACTTTATTGATAAATTTTTAAAAGTTTCTATAATATTTTTAGACTTAAAAAAATTAAAAATATATTTATTATTAGTTTTAGATGGAAATTTCATATTATATTAAAAAATTTTAAAAATACCTTTTTTTAGCTTTAAAAAGTAAAAAGTGTTTAAGAAATATTCTTTAGTTTTATTAATACTTTTAATTTTTTTTATAAAAACTTGAAAGATACATTTATCCCGTCAAAATAAAAAATAAAAAATACTCATCTGATGTTAAAATATACTCGTGAATTTTTAAGAATAACATTAAAAAACTTAGAGATAAGTCGAAAGACGATTTTTATCTATATATTAACACTTTTTTTTTTAATCGTCGAATGTTAATATTGATTTTTTTTAAAGTTTAAATAATATTATTATATTTTTAAACAAATTATAAAATTAAAAGAATTATTTATTTATTTATTAATTTAGCGAATTATTATTATTATTATTGGATGCTAATAATTCTTAATGGCTTGAAAATATTAGTGGGGTCCTCATTATTATTAAATGGAATCTGAATAAACCAAATATAAGTCTTTTTCTTAATAAACATGGGAATTGTATATAATTCAAAATTTTAAATTATGTGATTATATGATTTGCATATTATTAACTTGGTCACCTCGTTTGAGCTCAACTATATCATAAGAATCTCGGGTCAAAGTCTAGCTCGTCTCAATCATTAGGTTCATATAATGTAGCTCATCTAAGCTTATCTTTAACAATTGAGTTTAGGTAATATTGTTCGTCAAGTATATTTCAATCATAGGGTTCACGTTAATTTAGATAATCTAGCTATACTCTTTACTATTTTCTGCAATCGTGTGAAAATCATACATTAATTTGTAAGACCTTGGAAAGTGAAACGAAACATTCCTTATAATACACGTTTATAAAACTGTGAGGCTAACAACAATACATAATGGACTAAAACAAACAGTATCTACTAGTGGTGAGTTTGAGCTGCTATAGTTGGTGTTAGAGACAAGAACTGAGCGGTGTACCAACAAGTACATTGAACTCTCTAATATTCCCACATAGTATAATCATAGGAGGAGTGACACTATGGCTGAACCAACGACTAAAATATTATCATTACCTTTGTCAATTGAGATAGGTTTTCTCGAGCATATCTATATGCTTTCAAAATCTCTGAATCGAGCCCTAAAATCACATTAAAATTAGTACATTTAGAACCACAAATCAAACGATCCAACTGAATCAAGTCAAATCAATCGAATGAACGGATTATTACCGAGTTAAAGCTAATTTGAAAAGGGTAAAAAGGGAAAAAACATAATATAAATGCCTTTTGGAAGACGGTAAGAATATAATTTTGCTCCATTTGCAATATGGGAATCCCCACTTGCCCCTCAACCACTCTCTTTTCCCTTTTTCATTGATTCCCTATCAGCTTTAAATATTTTTTAAAACCTTATTACTTCGAATCAATAAAAATAATAATATTTAAGTATGTCATGAATATAGCTCAATTAATTAAAATATAATTATTATATAAAAATTTAAACGTAAATAAAAATATATTAATTAATTAATTAATTACTATAGATATGATATAATAAAATAATCCCGCAACTGTCACAAATTCCGAAACACCATGTTTTAGAGAATAAAACACAAGCCCTATCTCGCACTCCAAATTTTTTTGCCTCTTTATCAACAACTTAGGGACCCACAAACCCACACCATTAATTTTATATATTATCAATTTTCTTAAATTACAATTTCAACCCTCCTCGTATTTACTCGTAGATCACTAAATTTTCAATATTATACCGTAATTTTTATACACAATTCTCTAAATTACGAGACAGTAAATTCTTGCGCATTGTACCACAGAGTCGACCATATTATTTTTCAACTAATTAGTGTGACGAAAAAAAATTAAGATCGGCCACGAGTAACAATTTTCTATACCCTTTTATCTTGAAGATAATATATTATTGAACTTCTAAAAATTTTTCGATAAGTCAATATATTAATTAATGATTTTTATTTTTTTGGGTCATATTGATAAAATATTTAAAGTAATTATAAAAATATTAAAAAAAAAATGATGGGGTAAGAAACTAAACCCCTTCCCACACTTAACGTCACGTGACTTCCGTCGTCCCTCTTTCCTCCTCCTCTGTCGGCGCTTATTTACTCTTCCGCCACCATCGCCACCACCACTCTGTCTCTCTCTTCCTCGTGACGCCGCCCCAACTTCCAAAATTTTCCCTATAAATACCCACACGACTTCCATTGAAATCTCCCAAACCAAAACAAACGAAAATGAAGAACCCCATCTTCTCCCGCCGGGCGATTCTTTTTCTAATGTTTCCGATTCTCTTCTCGCCGGACTTCGCATTTTCCGGCCACGACTACGGCGAAGCCTTGTCCAAATGTATCCTGTTCTTTGAAGGGCAGCGATCGGGGTTCTTACCGCAGGAACAGCGGATGACGTGGCGTGCAAACTCCGGCCTTAGCGACGGCTGGACTTATCAAACTGACCTCACCGGCGGCTACTACGACGCCGGCGATAATGTCAAGTTCGGTTTTCCGATGGCGTTTACTACCACGCTTCTGTCTTGGAGTGTCATTGAGTTCGGCGACTTGATGCCGCCGGTAGAGGTTCGAAACTCGCTTGATGCGATTCGTTGGTCTACGGATTATCTCCTCAAAACGGTGTCGCAGCCTAATCGGATTTTTGTTCAGGTAATGAAATTTGCAGTTTCAGTGCGGTTAGTGGTAGTTTTGTAAATTTTTTGAGATTAATGGGTCATTTTTTCTTCTTAGCTTACTCAGCCCAACGTGACCACGTGGACTCTCCATAACCTCTGAGTGGTCGGCGTTTTCCGTTCAGGGGCCCACTGGGTCCCACCCCTCCGTGTTTAAACTCTTTTTTTTTTTGTTCTTTTTAAATAAATTTGGTCGAACCTTTAAATTTTAAATTTAATTAAAATACCACAAAATTAAAAAAAATTAGGTTCAAATAAAAATAAAAATAACATTTATTTTTGAACATTTTTTAAATTTTGGTAATCAAAATAAGCACAAATTTTAAATTTTAATCCTGTATTTTTAATTGAACCAATAAATTTATAATATTTTCATTTAATTACTAAATTTAAAACAATATTTTAAATGTGAAAGTACGATTTTACCCTTGTTCAATGTAGCATATTTGACGGTGAAGATTTTAAAAAAATATAAATGGAATAACTATTTAAAAAAATATAATTAATGTGATAATTTATTATTTTAATAAAAGAAAAAAGGAACAAAAAAAAAAAAAAAAAAAAAAAAANCATATACTACAAAATAGGGTTAGACTACTTACTTGGTCGCGGAGAGACGTGTCATTGAGCTGAGTCATAGAGATATACGACTCTTTATCCTAAGAAAAAATTTATATAATTTAAAATCCGGCTGCTCTGATACCAATCTGTCACAACCCAAATTTCAAAGGTTCAAAACTCAAATAGAAACTCAAATTGAAAGTGAAAAAAAAAAAAAAAAAAAAAAAAAAAAAGAGTGGCAGTGAAGTAAAGTGAAAGGACCCCAGATGAAAGTCCGTGAATGATTTAGGAGTTAAGAGTTTTAAGGGCCAAAGAAAGAAAGGGACTGTCCTAACCGTACTCATGTTCCCTACAATTTAAGGGCATATGATCCCTACCAACCGGGCTCTCATTAATACGAGACTAAACTTGCAATTTAACTTGTTATAGGTGGGAGATCCGAGTGCGGATCATTTTTGTTGGGAGAGGCCAGAGGATATGGACACAATGAGAACCGTGTACGCCGTGGATGCACCGGGGACTGCATCGGATGTGGCGGGTGAGACAGCGGCAGCATTGGCAGCAGCATCGATGGCGTTTCGATCATCAGACCCGGGGTATGCCGATACGTTGCTGCGAAATGGAATAAAGGCATTCGAGTTAGCTGATAACTACAGAGGAGCTTATAGTGATAACGACCATATTAGAGAGGGTGTTTGTCCGTTTTATTGCGATTTTGATGGCTATCAGGTTTGTCATTTCTAGTTCTCATTTAAATTTTAATTATTTAAAAAAGAAAAAAAATAAGCAAAAATTAAGGAATTAAAAAATAAAAGGATTCAATGATATAATTAGTGGATGGTGTCGAGTTTTAAGATCCACCCGTGAAGGCACAATTTGTCTGTCAGACACTCTGACTTCTTTCTTATTTTGTCATTTTTTTTTTGTGTTATTTTTCATTTACAAAGATATTTTAAATCGGTGAGACAGAACGTGGATTGTGAGATCTTACGTCAATTAGAGAGCGGAACGAAACATACTTATAAGAGTGTGGAAACCTCTAACTAGCAGACGACGATACATAATGAGTCATAGTAGACAATATTTGTTGATGGTGGGTTTAAGGTGTTGCGTAATCTAATTGTACACAATTGTCGGTCATAATATGGCGTTTTTTTGAATTAAGTAGAGAAGTAATGTACATTATATGGATGTGCGACAGGATGAGCTACTATGGGGAGCTGCTTGGTTAAGAAGGGCGAGTCAAAACGAGTCGTATTTGAGTTATATTCAAGACAATGGCAAGACGCTTGGCGCTGAAGATAGCTTCAACGAGTTTGGCTGGGACAATAAGCACGCTGGTCTTAACGTTCTCGTCTCTAAGGTCCCTTAAATTTATATGATTAATATGCTAAATTCAATAAAGTCAAGTAATAGAATAATATTTTTAAACCTATTTAAAATAATTATTTAAACCTATTTAATATTATTTTTTTTAATAATCTTGGTTTTATTTGGGAACGACGTCGTTTTCAGGAAGCTCTAGAAGGAAACATATTCACACTCCAATCGTACAAGGCGTCTGCAGACAATTTCATGTGCACACTAATTCCAGAATCCTCCTCCTCCCACATCCAGTACACTCCCGGCGGCCTCATCTACAAGCCTGGCGGCAGCAACCTCCAGCACGCCACCTCCATCACCTTCCTCCTCCTCGCCTACGCCAACTATCTCGACCGCACCTCCGCCACCGTCAACTGCGGCAACGTCGTAGTCGGTCCTGCCGCCCTCCGTAGCCAAGCCAAGCGCCAAGTCGACTACATCCTCGGCGACAATCCCAAGGGCATCTCATACATGGTCGGGTACGGTAAGTACTTCCCGCAGCGGATCCACCACCGCGGCTCCTCCCTGCCGTCGGTCCGCGAACATCCGCAGCCGATCGCTTGCAAGGAAGGCTCCACGTACTTCAATTCGGCGGATCCGAACCCTAATGTGCTAGTTGGTGCCCTAGTCGGCGGCCCTGGGGAGGACGATGTGTATGAGGACGATCGAGCCGATTTCCGCAAGTCGGAGCCCACTACTTACATTAATGCGCCATTTGTCGGTGTTTTGGCTTATTTTGCTGCGAATCCAGGGGCTTGATTGATTGATTGATGGTCCGGCGAGGGCGACGGCGGATGAAAAAGGAAGGAAGGCGAGTTTTTGGGGGTTTTTTTTTTTCCCGGTTTTTTAGATAAAGCACAAAAGGATGATGGTCTCTCATCTTGGCGGTTTAGCGAAAGAGGGTAGAGGCTTGTTTTGGTAATTTCACTCGAATTACCACTGGAATTTTATAATATTGAAAGCTCTATTAAAACTATATTTATTATAAAAAAAGAAAAAGAAAAAGAAAAAAGCTTGTTGTGGCTTTTTATTGTGTTTTACTTTTAACTAAAATAAAATAAATAATGGGGATTGACGAATTAAAAAATATATATGGTATATTATTTAATATTATTACTTACCACTTTTCATTCAATTTTGAAGGTAGTTTAATTGGTTAGGATATTCGAAGAGAGCCCCACTTTTTATTATTCTTTTTTAATTATTATATATATATATAAATCATACCGTCATTTAGTCTAAAACACGTCTATTATGAAGAAGGTTTATCTACCTTGTACTGTCCCGTGATTGGCTCTGACACTATTTATATCAGCTTAATTAACCGCTAGTAGATATTGTCATCTTAAACTATTACATTTAATATGAATATTAATTTACGATTTAAATTTTCCATGAAAATTTATGATTTAAAAGAATGTGAGTAGTTAATAAAAATATATTTTTTGTTTTTGTAAATAATGAAATTGTGATAATATTATTTATAAGCTAAATGCAGCTGAGTTGGTTGGGGTTTTAGTCCTTTTATTTATTTATTTATTTATTTCACCTTTTTATGAATTACTTATCTTGAAACATTGGGAATCTACTTTCCCTGACACCGTAAACAAAAGTATAATTGAAGATATAATTAAATAAAACTTTGGAAATTGGAAAATTCTATATAAAAAAATGGTCTTTTATTTTAATTTAAAATGCTATATATATATATATATATATATATATATATTATTTATTTTTTTAAATTAATAATTTTTTTTAGGTTGGTTTGGTTCATATTTTAACGAATTATGATTATTTTAAACAATGTATTCAATGAAAATGATAAATTTTACATTTTTCTAACTATTTTTTAACGGAGATTTCGAATTATTGTGTATCATTTTGTCACTTTTTAATTACCACAAAGAATAAAAAGATAATTACCGTTCTAAAATAATATACCAATAAATTAGAGATTAGATTTAATGATATTTATGTATGTCAATTTGAACATAGCTCAATCATTAATATATCACTACTACTATTATAATGGGGAAATTAATCGTCATTAAAAATAAAAAATAATTTAAAAAAATCTCTTTAAAGATGTCGTGGCAAGCTATCCACCGTTGTTTAAATTGATCACAAATCTCATTAAATCCTTTAATTAAACCTAGCCATTGAATCTCCTCTCTCAAACAAGAGAGAATTAGAGCCTCATATTTTAAAAAATAATGCCACTAAATTAATAAAAAAAAAATACTTAAATAGATTTTGTATTTTTATTTGTAGTTTCAAAATATTTTTAATAGTTTACCCAAATAATTAATTACATAATATTACGAATATAAAAAAAACAAAAAAAAACATGTGGAACAGTGGGCAGTGCCAAGTCAGCAAAGTTATCATCCACGTGGCAGAGCAATATTTTAAGATGCACAATGGCCTCAAGCTGGCAATCTTGAATCAAACACAATGCAAGTATAAATACAGTGAGAAGCCCTCCCGTTTGCGGCCACGCGGCAGCAACCAGATCAGAGACCGTTGGCGAAGGAAGAAGCAACAAAGATAAGATTTTTCTTCTTCTTCTTCTTCATCAATGGCGTCTGCTTCTCTCAAATCCTCCCCTGTTCTTGACAAGCTCGAGTGGGTCAAAGGCCAGTCTCTCCGGCAGCCATCCGTCTCCGTCGTCCGCTGCCACCCCACCGCCGCCCCCTCCACCCTCACCATCCGTGCCGCCTCTTATAGCGATGAATTGGTCAAAACAGCCGTAAGTATAATTCTTTTTGACTTTTTCTTTTTCTTTTTAGTTAATAACCATTTTAATTAATATTTTTTATTTATTTAATTGTATAAAAATTAGTATTATACTTCTATAAATGTTTGTCTAGCATTGTTTTAAGACGTAAAATCTTGGTAAATTATTATTATTTTGTAGTTGACTAGAGGCAATCGAAAGAAACTTTGTAACATGAGAGATACACTTGTAAACACTTTAGTCATAGTGGTTGATTATCACCCATGGATACAGGAAAATTTATTCTCTTCAAACCACGTTCATCTTTATGTATTTTTGTTTGGTTTGTGTTTATGGGGTGTGAGTGTGATCAATATTGCTTCTACTTCTGCTGTAACAATTGGTATCATAGCATTTTTTGTTGTAGCATTCGACTACAACAATTGGGTATCAAATATTTTTTGGTTGTAGCATTGCTTACAACAATTGGGTATCATAGCTTTTTTTAGTTGTGGCATTCGGCTACAACAACTGGTATCATAGCATATTTGGTTGTTGCAGAAAACGGTGGCGTCGCGGATATTGGCTATGGATGAGTCTAATGCTACCTGTGGAAAGCGTTTGGATTCAATTGGGTTAGAAAACACAGAGGCGAACCGTCAGGCTTACAGAACTCTGCTGGTCACTGCACCAGAGCTCGGCAAGTGCATCTCCGGTGCTATACTTTTTGAAGAGACGCTCTACCAATCCACCGTCGACGGCGAGAAGATTGTCGACGTTTTGGTGAAGCAGGGCATTGTTCCGGGAATCAAAGTTGATAAAGGTAATGGCATTGGTGGTAGTTTTGCTATTTTTCCCAGCGTTTTTGTTTGCTAAAATGGTGTAAAAACAGGGGTTGGTGCCACTTCCTGGTTCCAACAATGAATCATGGTGTCAAGGACTCGATGGCCTTGCTTCTCGCGCTGCTGCTTACTACCAACAGGGCGCGCGTTTTGCCCAATGGTATCCGATCGTCTTCTTGTTCTTTGCAATTTGGTAATTTGGTAATACTAACAATGGCGATTAGTGAGGAGGCTAGAGTCGGACACCAAGTGATGTGTTAGTGAGGAGGCTGAGGCTCAAAAGGGATGGACATGAGGCGATGTGCCAGCAAGGACACTGACTCTGAAGGAGATGGATTTGGTGGAGTCCCACATCGATGGGAGAAAGGAACGAGTGCCAGTAGGATTCTGGCCCTGAATGAAGGCAGATTGTGAGATTACATATGAGATGTGGAGGAGAACGAAACATTCTTTATAACGGTATGGAAACCTCAAGGACGTTGGGCCACCCCCCTTATCGGTTGTGTCGGAGAACGAAACACCATTTATAAGGGTGTGAAAACCTCAAGGATGTTGGGCCACCCTATATCGGTTGTGTAGGAGAACGAAACATCATTTATAAGAGTGTGAAAACCTCAAGGATGCTGGACCACCCTCATATTGGTCGTGGAGGAGAACGAAACACCCTTTGTAAGAGTGAAAACCTCAAGGATGCTAGATCACTTTTATATTGGTCGTGGAGGAGAACGAAACACCTTTTTATAGGAGTGAAAACTTCAAGGATGTTGGATCACGCTCATATTGGTTGTAGAGGAGAACGAAACACCATTTATAAGAGTGTGAAAATCTCAAGGATGTTGGACCACCCTCATATCGATCGTGGAAGAGAATGAAACATCCTTTATAAGGTGGAGAAACATCAAGAACATTGGCCGGGTGGATTTGGTGGGGATTCCACATCCATCGGAGAAATGAACCAGTGTCACCTATGACGCTGGCCCTGAATGAGGAGGATTGTGAGTTCTCTTATCGATTGCGAAGGACAACGAAACATAAAAGGTTGTGGAGATCTCCCCCAACATACTCGTTTTATAAACCTTAATCACCGTATCAGCTAGCTAGCATGGGGTTGGGCCGAAACCCTAATGGATTTAAGGTGTTTTTATATTGATTTTGGATTGGGGTTTTGCAATATGCAGGACAATGGACTGGTGCCGATTGTGGAGCCAGAGATCTTGCTGGATGGAGAGAACGGAATCGACAGAACCCTCGAGGTAGCCCAGAAAGTTTGGGCAGAGGTGTTCTTCTACCTTGCAGAAAACAATGTCCTGTTCGAAGGAATTCTTCTGAAACCAAGCATGGTCACTCCAGGAGCAGAGAGCAAAGAAAAAGCCAGCCCTGAAAAGGTTGCAGATTACAACACTGTGTCTCTTCTCAAAAGAAGAATCCCTCCAGCAGTTCCTGGAATCATGGCAAGTCGTTAAAACAGAGCTTCAAATTTTAAGGTTGATTAGCTTGATGAGCTGACTCTGAGTTGTGTTTTTGTTGCTGTGGGACAGTTTTTATCAGGTGGGCAATCGGAGGTAGAGGCCACATTGAACTTGAATGCCATGAACCAAGCGCCAAACCCATGGCATGTGTCCTTCTCGTACGCCAGAGCTCTGCAGAACACATGTTTGGAGACATGGGGTGGGCGGCCGGAGAGTGTGAAGGCCGCACAGGATGCTTTGATTCTAAGAGCCAAGGCAAACTCGCTTGCGCAGCTTGGGAAGTACACTGGTGAGGGTGAGTCCGCTGAGGCTAAGGAGGGAATGTTCGTCAAGGGCTACACATACTAAGATTTTATATGTATTAAGAAGATGAAGAAGAAGATAATGGCTAAAGTTGGATGTGTTTATGATGATGATGGCTATTTGCAACCAACTAAAACTATTTTGGTGAATTCTTAGGTGTAATGAACGTTTTGGAAAGAATATGTGAGATCTCACATTGGTTCGAGAGGTAAACAAAACGTTTCTTATAAGGGTGTGGAAATCTCTATGCATTTTAATAACATTGAGGGAAATCCCGAACGGGAAAAAACCCATACGTGTTTTGAAAATCTTGAAGGGAAGCTTGAAAGAGAAGACCCAAAAAGATAATATCTAATAGAGGTGAGCTTGAGACCGTTACAATATATGACCCAATAAACGAAACATTTCTTAGAAGATGTTAGGATGATTAATAAAAACTTTTAAAAATGGAAAGTTACCATTTATATCATACTTTCGCTCTCCGTGGCTCAATCATAAGAACTTTACAGACAAACGTGCTTTGCTTTAAGCAGTTCTAGTGACGTGACCACGTTGTAGAGGATGCATAGTTACGTGATGTTATCGTAAGGGATGTACGAGGAAATGGTTATTGACAAGATTAAATAAACTAAAATAAAATATTGAAATTACAATTATTTTTTTATTATTATTATTATTTTAATTATAAGAGAGGGAGAGTTGGGAACCCTTCAGCAACGACGGCGTATAAAGGACCCGTTTTCTCTAACTCCCTTCTTCCGTTCCTTAATACTAGTAAAACGGTGCGTTTTGGGAATCAAAACCGTTAAACGGCGTTATCTCCAGTGTTAGTTAGTCCCAATCGAAATCCACAACATTACAAAGCCATCTACAGAGGGAGAAAGAGGAAGAAGAGAGAAATGAGCTTTTCGTCGACGGCGGGATATTTGGCTCGGCGAGCCGCCCAGAAGGAGAGGGTTCGGATCCTTTACCGGCGAGCCCTCAAAGACACTCTCAATTGGGCTGTCCATCGCCATCTCTTTTATCGAGATGTATACGGTTTTCTCCATTTCCATTTCTGTCTTCGATCTTAAACTGATTCGGTCTTTTTTTTTTTTTTTAATTTTTTTTATTTCTAATCGTCCATCGTTTCAGGCGTCGGACCTCCGGGAGAGATTCGATGCAAACAAGCACGTGGTTCGTTCTATGTCTGTTCCTTTAATTTTGTTCTGATCGATTTTTTTGTTCTTTTGTGTGTTTTCGTTGATTTGAAATTTTCTGCATTGCGACCTCTTATGAGTTAATTGACCTAGGGATGTGGATATAAACCGATGAAATAATTTTTTGTGCGGCTAGATTGAGATGTTTGAGTAGACTCTACTCTTACTGCGTGGATTTTTCTTACAAGCATTTTTCGTTGAATTGTCTTGCGTTACTTGATGAAACATTGAAATGTGGTTTATACTGGTAGTTTGGATGAATGCTTGTGGTGCTTTGGTCCTTTTATTCTCTGGGATTGTTGATTGATCCTTCAATTTCGTCTGCTTACTGCATCTGGAAAATCGTGGATTTGACAAAGAAATGTTATGATATCCTTGGAATCAAATATCACCATTTTCCTCATTCAAATCATGTCATGTTGGAAGTTGTGTAGGACGTCCCATATTTAAGGATTATGTTGCCCCCAATTTGTGTTTCAGATACGTAAACATTCTCCCATAGGAATTATCTTCCTGCAAAATTTAACAATTCAGTTGGTTTTCTTATATATATCCAAAGCTCTCTCCTGATCCACAGAGTTAAAAGTTAAAAAATAAAGTTTGAAGATTGATGTTGGAAGGAAGTGAGAAACTACGGAGAATTAACTTGAAATTATACTTGAAACTTCAGAGCTTTGAGGGGTCTTATTAAACTCAGCATCGGACTATAAATATTCAATTATGTTCTGGGAAATTGGGTCAAAACTAAAATCTGAGATCAGAATTTCAAGCCGTGGAAGGTCTACAAATATAGACTGACATGATTTTAGTTAGCACGCATCGTTTTCTATGTTATTGATCAATTGCTTATGGATCCTTTTTTGGGTGGATTTGCAGGAAGATCTTGACAGAATAGATAGGATGATAGCTGATGGAGAAGCTTCCTATAATAAGTGGCGGCATCCCGATCCCTATATCGGTAAGTACACTCTTGAATGAATTGATCATGTGGCAGTTCATAAAAGTAAGGATGCAAAATCAACTGCTGTTACTACGTAACATGTTAATGACGAAATTGTCCTCTTAAGTTCTTGGTCTTCTACTTTAATCTGATCTGTAGATAACAGGCATGCTTTCTGTTGATTTGAAATGCCACTAAAGTGTTGGTTTTCCTTCCTCCTTTTTGAATAATAAAAATTGTATTGCAGAAACAATATGAACAAAACATTGAGTTTAATTAAAAAAAAGGCTATGGTTTTTATCCATTTTAAGAGTCAGTTTAGTAGGTTGTAGAGATCCACGCCTAAAAATAAGCAAACTACAATATCAAAGCCTTCCAATCATTTGTAATCATGAGTAGGCTATGCTTACAAAAGAGTTTCTTCTGGTTTGAACGCCACCAAGTAGTATGCTACTATGCTGTACATTTCTCCAAAAAGAATCCACCAAAGATGGCCAATTTTCAAAGGTTCCCTGAATTCTCTCTTTCCACATCATCCACAAAATAGCCCTGACCGCACAATTCCATAAAATTTTTGCCTTCCTTTGACAGGACTTCCCTCCTAGGCTCTCCATCAGCCACCCATCAATCTTCTAAGGGAGGCATTCAGCCAACTTAAAAACCGGAAAGAAGGAAAATCGTGTTGAACGGGAAAATGGGCAGTAGGGCAGGATGTGATCCAAAGACACTCCCTCCTTCAAGCACAAACAGCAAATAGATGGACTCCCTCTGCAGCTTATCCGAAGAATTAAGGCTTCTATGCATGACCAACCAAATAAAGACATGAACTTTTTGGGCCCTTTTTTTTTTCTTTCCAGTTGTAGTCCACCATGGGAGTTCTAAGTTTAACATTCAACTTAATCAGGATCGTTGGTAATGAAATAGGGAGTGTGATGGTCTTCTATTAGTTTGGAACAAGAAATTCTTAATACTTCAGATAAGCTGCAGAGTGTGATGGTCTTCGTTAAGCTGCAGGCATGCTTATGTCAAAACAATCTTCCCCCAGTTCCCAGATGGTTGCCAGCTCCCACCTAAAACTTTAAAGAATCATTCATTGTTTGTTATTTCAATTCTGCTTGAGGCTATGCATGCCGTTATTAATCCTAATTTTTTATTTTTCTTTTACTCTGTAGTTCCTTGGGCTCCGGGTGGTTCTAAGTTTACGCGAAACCCAACTCCACCTCCGGGGGTAAGTTTTCTTTAGAAGATTGTTCTCATATCTTTTTTTTCATAAGAATTTCATTCCTTCTCTTTACATTTTTTTTAGACATCATTATTATTATTTTAATTCTTGCATATATCTTGTTTTTATTGCATTATCTGCCCTATAGGTTGTACAATTGTGTCCCTAAGAACGGTATAGCATTAACCACCTCATTCTCAGTGCTTTTTACTAGAGGTCATGATATGCAGTGTACCCAATAATTATAATGATTTGTGATTGGCTTATTGGTCAAATGAAACGTCTACTAAAACCACAGTTTTGAAATATGTTTGTTTTAACATGGCATTTTTTTACCCCAAAGATGAGCACTAGTGTATGCGAAGGTTCCTTTCACCTATTCCTGGAAGGAGCACGTGAAAATGGAAAAGTGGAAATTCTTTACCCAGCGATTAGAGCATAGGAACGCAGCTCCATACTCTTTACCTTTTTTCTTCTTTGGCTATTTTAATCTTATCATGTGCTTCGGGCTTGAGTTCTCAACTCTTTGCCCCTTTGATAATTTTTTATTGCAATTTTTAGAGTGTAATCTCATCTGTCAAGATGACACTAACATTTATGAAATTATGCAGATCGAGATCATATATAACTATGGGCGGGAAGATCACTGAAATCTTCGTTATCATGGTAATAAGTAAAGGTAAGCTTACATTTGGCTGCTGATAAATGCCTGTTTTCCCCGATCTGGATGCAACTCAAACTGGCTTGTAACTGGCTATTATATTATTCTTGCATTTTTATTTTATTTCTTGCTTGTTCACTCCCATGAAGAGTTTGTATCTTTTGAGCCTTAGTCCTTTTACATTTATTCAATGATAAGTTTTGTTTCTTGTTCAAAAAGGGAGAAAAAGTGTGTTTTGTATGTGATGCCGACCAGATAGTATTATTATAGGGAGATTATGGTAAAGCGGAGTGAATCTTGAGAAGCGAAAGAAGTTTGTATACTCTGAAAAAGTTAGTTTGTTGTTTTGAAGTTTCTAAAGCAGACCATCTACGCAATATTACAGTCAACAATAGTTTTGAACATACAATGACTCTAGTTTTGGACATACTTTTTCCTTGTAGCTCTAATGTGAAAAGCAACGTTTTGAGTATTGCAGGTTGAAATTGTTCGTGGGCTCGTCAGAGTCGATGATGATAAAGCGAGCTCTTTGATGTGTAAACTCGAATGAGCACAAATTATAGTGATTCCTTGTTGATTTGCTTTCTTCTTATTATTGCTCAGATATGCAAATTTGACAGAAAAATCACCATTGGAACGATGTGTGATGCTGCAACTTTTGGTTAATTATCCATCCTTTGCAGGATGAGCGGTTTGCCTGATTGCTTGTCATTGCATCAGATGTTTAAATAAATAGGAAATGTTTTAGCAATTGAGAAGCTAATTTCATTTTTATTGGGCATCGGTGCTCTTAAAAAGTTGAGCATGGATGGGATATGGTTTTGAAATAGTGAAAATCAATTTTATGATGAAAAATTGCTCAAACTACTAATCTGAATATTAGACATTGAAGGAAGACTCTGAATCAACTATAATAAGTCTGTCATTCTACAATGGTTTAGTAATGGATGATTCATCTTAAACAGTCATTGTTGATCTACAATCAATTATGACAATTTTTTTATTGGAAAGGTTGAACAGGATACTTTCTAGCACGATCTAGAAAAGGTACATGAAATGTACTTTTGGGGTCATTGATGTGTTTATAATTTATGTCGGTAAAGAATGCTATTTAGTTGACCAAAATAAATTGCACTATATGATCATGAAAGTGTGAAAACAATGTTGTAGATGAAATTAAGAAGAAAAATAAGTTTGAATGAGAGAGGAGAGAGAGAAGAATCAACCGCTCAATGACTCGAATGAATACACGAATCGAATCACTCAAATGAATACAATCAGCACAAAACTATGTTAACACAATCACACATACTATTCACAATTAAAAAAAAAAGCACGTACATAAAACAGATTCAAAAATTATAAACACATGACTACAAGCTTAGTGTAGTCAACTATCCTCCTCTCTCGCTCATTCTCATTATTCCTTTGAAGTTATGGACCAATAAAAAAATGATTTTTATATTCGAAACCCATTAAAAGGAAGAGAGAAATCAGTATTAGTTCAGTAATATTAATCGATGAGGTGTTCGAAAATGGTTGAAGTTAGTTGAATAAGAGGATCACTATAACTATAGCCAAAGACGAAAATGATTTATTCAATATTATGGATGACTGGTTACAGAGGGACTGTTTCGTTTTTGTAGGTTGGTCTGATCTATTGCTCCTTCCTTGTGCCTATTTTGCCGTGTGAGGTTGGTTTACAAGTACAACATTTGTAACTTCATGGTGTACCCATGGATTGACAAGTTCCTATTTGGAATGATGTAACTTCTTAACCGCCACTAATAGTTTAGCGCACACTCTTTTATTGTTCACTCTTTGATACACTCATTGTTGTTCACTCGTTCTTTGATACACTCATTGTTGTTCACTCGATCTTTTCCAACAACTTTACCAAAATAATCCTGTATTTCATTTTTAAGAAAAAGAGATGTTCCGTGATATTGAAACATAGGTCTTAACTTAGATAAGTTAATAAGTTGGGTTTGTGATAATTTGTAAAATAAATATGCTTGTGACAAGTATGATAAGTCCCCAAAGACCTTTCTATTCTTATTACTAATATTGGAAAGTGACTTTTTTATAGTTGAAATAAAGTAAATGAAACTTTGATTTGTTTTATCAATTCTTTCTTGATTTGCTTCATTATTGGAAATAGATTTAGTCATTTTTTTTATTGATTGTTCATATGTTCGAAAAAACTCATCTACAAGATGATTTTTGTTTGATTCGCAACCAGTTTGGATAGCTCGTCTCCAAAGTTCGTCTCAATTTAAACCTCTCCATTGCTCGCCTAACATCCAAGCTCATCATATGCCCATCAACTTCTACACCAACCTCGTCGTATAAGCTTCATGCACTGTCGAAGGGAACATTGCATAAATTGCATGTTTGCTGGTAAGGTCTGACCAATCCAATTTAGATCAAATTTCTCCAACCTTTCAACTTATTTTCATCTATACTGATTTAGATGTGATTTTAAAGCTTCCTTTTTGTGGTGATCATCCAATGACATTCAATTAATATTTGTCCCGTGATCATTGGACCATGTTCTTGTTCCTTATTTCTATTTCTTGAATCTTGGAAAAAAAGAAACCCGAACATAAACATAAACATGTTTGGTAACCAATACCAAATAATAGAGCCCAACGATCATTAGCACAGAGTTAAGGTTGGGGTTCGGCCCACCCCACCATATTTGAGAGGCTTGAACTCAACCAAGGCCATAGACTTCATGTACTCATTTTACCAGCCCTGACCAAAATTCAGCTCAAAAGAATGAGGTGTGTACTCGATTCACTACAATGTCGGTATGTTTCGCTAATATTCAAACAACCTCTCAGGTGGTGATCTTGGTCGCTCGGTACCAGAAGGTATGTTCTTTGCCCATTCGTGCTCGTGTGTAATTGACCTCCTTGACCCGAATGCTATAAATAGCACGAGCAAGTTAGCCATCGGCTTGGCTAACAAGAGGGATTTCACTCTTTCTCCACAGATCAAAACATGTTCCTAATAACATCAAAATCTATTGCATCTTCAAAATAAGAAAGATGATTAAAAGAAAAGAGGCAAAGAATCTTTTATATTTAAGACTTAACATCATGTCTTCCTAATAGCAAACACACTAGGATGGTGTCAGGTCAACGAAGAGCCTAGAATAATCATTTCACGTCTTTCTAATAACAAACGCACTTGGATGATTATGAAAGAGTTGAGAATCAAATTTTGGACAAAGAAACAACATGTCTACAATAAAATATTTACCAATGATCTCTTTCCCTCCATCCCAAAACATTTCAAATGCAGGGCAGCATGACATTTCTCTCATCCCAAGACGATCCATTGACCGATCCTGCTTGATGCCAAACGACATTGATTGATACCAAAAAGTATGAATTGAACTCTTTTTAAGTGCTAAGAGATAACAAAGAGAGCTTAGTAATCACATCATTACAATGGCCCTCTCCTAATAGCACTAGGAGTGGTGTAGTAGGGTGAATTAAAACACAGAGTTCATAAGAATCTGTATCATTTCTTCCTAATAACACCGCACACTAATGGTTAAGAAAGAGATGAGAATCTTTTCGTGTTTTTTCTAGCGACACTAAGATGATCAGGAAAGAGTTGAGAATCTTTTTCAAGAAACAGATCCATAATAAAGAAATCAATATATAGAGACAACACGCAGTGGGAGACGACATAAAATATATATCAGAAGAGACAACAAACCCATGACAGTGATGCCTTTTCACCCATTACTCTACTCTAGATTTCATATTAAAAGAGAGAAAAAACCATTAAGCTTTCTATTCCTATATACCACAGATCACCATTCTAAATTAAAGCTAAATGAGAATATAAAAAGAGATGTACATGAAGAGAGGAATCTACCTCTACCGCACAGTTTTCAGTTGTTGACCACAGGACCAATCTGAGGCTGAAAAAGATTGGACAGAGCAGCACACAGCAGTCTGTGGACAGCAAACCGATAGGGGCATTGCATGAACAGATAAGCTCCATCCCCAACCGCACCATCCTGTAATGACAAATCCAAACCAAAATTCCGTCCCCCATCACGCACAAGTGTAATAAGGATGATATTGACCCTTCCCCATCACATGGCTTCACAAACAATTATAGAAAATGAACCCTTTTCGATTTACTAGATGTTGTTTAAGAGCAAAGGAATCAATTCAAAAGGCACTATTGAAGAAAAGAAAATTAGCCATTGATGGCTTCTTTTTCTTCCATTCTTTTTTCTGATGAAAAGGAAAACTTAAAATTCTACACTGACATTACGAAGAGAGAACGAGATCCCAAATTTTACAAAAGGGTGGATTCGGTGTTCCCATCCCCTCTTTTCTGTACTAAAAAAAAGAAAGTTACAAAAAAAAAACGAAGGAAGACTAAAGGAAAAGGAGCTTTGCTGCTGTTGCCGCTCTCACAACCCTTTGCTGCAACACACCAAAGGAAAAAACAAAAGGTTTTTTTTTTGTTTTTTGTTTTTTTGAGAAAATGGAAAATTCATGGAAATACATCGACGGACCCATAAGGACAACAAAAACAGACCCACTAGAGAAGAAAGACAATAGCTAAGTAGGGATGGCTGAGGACAACGAAGTCTTAACAACTCTGTCAAGCATAGCAGTAAGTCCACTGCTCGGAATCATCGCCAGAACCAGAATCCACAGCACCATTGTAATCAGTATCACTATCACTGAAACAGGAAGATGGGCTACCCAAATAAGGCATGTTGCGGAAGGACATGGCCAAGCTGTTGGCTATGCCCTCACAACCATCATCATCTTCCTGCACAAACTCCTCTGCTCGGTGCTTGAGCGTCTCGAACATGAGTTCGGGCTCGTACTGCATCACTCGGAGGATGTCCCCGGATGATGGCCCAGGCACAGTGCGAGTCACCGCAAAGCTATGCGGTCCATCGCTCTGCATTACTCGAATTACGCTCGGGCCACCAAACAGGTTGTGAACACCACCGAGAGCCTCCTCATAAGCCCCGCCCAGAAACATCCCAAGATAGTATCGCCCACCTCCACCTGACAAATTACCATTGCCTTCCATCTCGTGCAATGGCAAACTTGACTCGCCACCAATGAACTTATCGATCTTCCCGTCACTGTCACAGGTAAGATCAGAGAGAATGCCTCTCACTGAAGGTCTCTGATCAAGACGATGAATGGGGACTATAGGGAACAGCTGATCGATACCCCAGAAATCTGGAATGGAAGTGAAAATAGAGAGGTTCACGTGATAAGATCTTACAGAGTCCAACTCCCCAACAGCCTTCGAAATGAGAGCACAAAGGCCATCCACAGCAGCCAGTTGTTCCATTCCCAAACACCCATCCATGAATTTCTCAATGCAGCGTTGTTTCAATTGGTCCGCATACAGCAAGCATGTCTTATACTCACCCATACAAGCAGCAGCCGAAAGGTTCTGATAATCTACGCGGGCATCGTCTGTTAGCCCATCAAGATACTGAAGTTCAATGGAGCTCATGGATGGGACCTCATAAGTACTAGCAGAAACGGCCTCGAAAATCAGAACGGAGTGATGAGAGGCAATTGCTCGACCACTTTCACTGCAAAGTATTGGGTGCTTCACGGACCTACGGTCACATACAGAGCGAATTACGTCAACAACCATAGAGGCATACTCATCGAGACCATATGCAACAGATAACCCAGAGTCCGGAGACTTCGAACCGTCATAGTCAATACCCAGACCACCTCCAATGTCAACTACACGCATGTTGGCACCGAGACGGACCAATTCACAATAGATCTGAGCAGCCTCACCAACGCCATCGGCGAGCAAGGTAGTGGAAGGAATCTGGGATCCAATGTGAAAATGTAGCAATTGAAGGCAATCAAGCATATCATGCTGTTTAAGTTTCCCGACCACCCGAAGAATCTGGGTGGTCGTAAGTCCAAATTTCCCTTTCTCGCCAGACGTAGACCCAAAATGACCAGAATGTTTGGTTCGAAGCTTCGCACGCACGCCAACCACAGGGCGAACGAAGAGTCTTTTGCTCAAATCAATCACTAAATCGAGCTCTTCCTCTTGTTCGAGAACAACCACCGTGTTCAAAGCAAGCTTCCTGGCAATAAGAGCCAAAGAAATGTACTCCGCATCCTTGAAACCATTACACACCAAAAGGGCATCTGAATTCCCTTTGCACAAACAGCTCATTGCTAGGAGGATCTCTGGTTTCGAGCCAGCTTCGAGACCAAAACGGAAAGGAGATCCGAATTTCACTATGTCCTCAACAACGAACCTGTCCTGGTTGCATTTAACCGGGAAAACACCCTGGTAATGAGAACCATATCCCTGAGATTGAATGGCATGATCAAATGCCGACTGGAGAGATTCAAGACGATTCTTAAGCACATCAGGAAAGCGCACAATAAGAGGAAGCTGTAACCCGAGGCCGCCAGATCGAATCGGATCTGAAGCCTTCTTCACAATTTTGAGCAAATCAATCTCCTGATGCGGCAAAGTGGCCGTACCGTAAGGACGAACAGCCATATTTCCAGAGCCATTAACAGAAAAATAAGGGGCACCCCATCCATCGATCTTGTAAAGGGAAGAAGAAAGAGAAGGAGACCAAGACAGATTTTCAGAGGTGGGAGCAGAGACGGGAGAGGTGAAGATGGTAGTCTCCGGAGGTCCGCCGGGAAATAAGTCCGGCGACGGAAGAGAGCTATCCCCAGCAAAAGCGTAGCCAGGAGGAGGAGCTGCAGTAGCATCCACGCAATAAGCTAGGGCCGGCATCTCTCCGGCGACGGATCAAGAAATGAATACGAAGAAGAAAATGGAAAAAAAAAAATCAAAGAACGATGAGAGTGGTTAGAACAATTGTTAAGAAAATGGAACGATAATTTTCAGAGTTTGTGCAAGTGGGGGCTTTAAAACCCGCCGAGGCCGAGGCCCCGGCTACCCCCCCAAAAGAAGCAGAAAAAGTAGCTATTTCCACCGCCAAATTCACCACGCTCCCCTATACACTTGAAATATCCCACCGCGATCCGCCCAGAAGAAGAATTTCAGAGGAACAAGAACAAAACCAAGCTACAAAATCGAAAAAAACAACCAAAACTCAAGCACTGAATCCGTTCTTCACCATGCAGATCTGGAAATCAAAGAATCGACACAAACCAGACGAAGGATTCAAAGAAGAAGAACAAAAAACAGAATGCAATTGCTTTCAACAACCACAAATGGAAAATGACAGAGCGAAAATTCACCGGGCAAAAGGCCGAGAAAAAAGAAGAAACGGAAACCTAACGGAGAAAACACGGAGAGATATAGAGAACCGTCGGAGGCGACGGAATGCGTTTAAACGAGGTTAGAATGAGCGAGAATAGCATGCATTACCAAGCGCTCTTTTATAGGAGAATATCTCTCGGGTTCGGGTCGGATCTTTACATGCACCCACCCGGTAGTTCATGACCCGATTATATTTCTCGCGGGTTCTCCTTTTAATAATTAATTAATTAATTTTTTTTTTTAAAGACTGAGATTCTGTTCCTTTTCTCTTCAAAGCTTATGGACTAATCAGCGTCGGGTTGCCGCGTGGCCTTCTTTCGTGCGGGACCCTCCATTTGCCAATACATCTCCCCAGGCTTCGCCTTCGGTTTAGCATGCTTACGTGGCCATTTATTTCGGATTTTTTAATTTTAAAAATAACTAATTTCAAAATCTCGCGATATAATGGAAACGATATTCACGAAGAAGAAGGTAGCAGGAAGTTTCGTGGTGTAACAAGTTAATGACGTGGACCGTCAGGATCTTGTCACGTCATTTGTATCCTCTCTCTCAACAGATTCCCTCCCTTTTTCTTCGTTCAACCGAGTTTGAAGGATTCATGTAGCCCTTCCATTTTTATTGCTTAAAATATATTTAATATATTAATTAAATAAAAAAATATTTTGGAACCCTTCGAAATCCGAGCAACCCAAATAGACTTCACAGTTCAACCTAATCAAACCCTTTGTTTTCAGTTGGATTAGGTTGAATTGTCGAATTTTTTTAATTATTTAAAGAATCAGAGTTACATTAATAACTAAAGTCTCATAAAAGTTAAATATCAAATACTTACCGCTAACCTTAGTTACAAATATTAAATATTTTTAATATTCATAGTAATTGGTTGGGTTGGATTATACCCCTAATTTCAAGTGGATCGAGTTGACTCAACCAAACAATGTCAACTCAAATAAAAAAAATTATCTCAATAAAAAAAAAACTATATATATATATATAGTTCTTGTAATATATCTGGTTTATCCAGTTATGCCGATTAATAAATTTTATTAAATATTTAACAATATTTTAACTTCGAGATTAAATCATTAAAAATTAAAAAATTATAACAACCAAATTATTAATTAAACTCATTACTTAGTTTGAGATTATTGTGAGTATTAACATAATTATTGTGAAATATGCTTCCATAAGTGTTTGGTAAATCTCGTAATAAACGTTAAAAAGTATGATAAAATAGGAATTTTAAAGAAAGTAAAAAAAAAAAAAAAAAAAAAAAAA